AGTTCAGACATGTGCCCATAAAGGAGGACAGCTTCTCTGATTTAAACCTGTATCTGCTGATCGCCATTGTGTCGGTTTCAGTGATTTTTCTGTTGAGTCTCATCAGTTTAATAGTTGTCAAATGCCACAGGACTGACGGCAGTTTCAGCAGGTACAGCGCCCCAATGATCACCACCCACCCTGACGGGAGCTGGTCTTACTCTAAAGCTACTCAGCAGTATGACGTCTGTTTCAGCTCGGACACGCTTAAGAGTGACGTAGTGGTTTTCCCCGCACCATTTCCGCCTGTAGATGCTGAGCTGATCAGTATTAACGGAGGAGATACTTTTACCAGAACTCAGACTTTACCCAGCAAAGAGAAGGTAGGTTTTACTTTACTTGCGAATTCTTGAATAATGAATTTTGGGATTAAGACTACGTTAACTGAAATGTAATTGCTTTCACTGACTGCTTTGGAAGACCACCTCCTTTAATATGATATTTTATGCAGGCGTGCATAAACGTAGAATCTATACATGTAACAGCAAGGCAACAGAACGAATTGCTCATATGTCAATCGCTGATAACAAAACAAAGTTAAGTTTTCCCACGACCACACTTTATAAAAGTAATTATGTAAATTACTTGTGCTCATTCAAATCAAGCTTCTTGTTGAAAAATAACTCGTAGGCTTGTCAGAATGTTTTCCTTATACTTAACTCTTGTCTTGGCTATAAGTTTCATATCTCCGTTAAAGCACCACACACTAAAAATGTATTTCAGGCCACAAATGTATACATCTTGGTCCAGTAAACGTTGAAATGACAATGTGGCACGGTAAAGAAAAACATCGTTTAAGATTTTTAGGAACTCAACCATGTCAGTTAACTTAACCAAACAATTCATAACTTGTATTGAGACAGAGCTCGCCATGGTGCTGAACTTACAGCCCTCGGTTTCGATTATCTGCTCTGAAACATCATATTTACATTTTCTAAAAACATCTCTCAAGTATTTTAACAAGATATGACTAAATGGCGCTCTCCGTGGGAGTGAAAATAGGCATTCAAATTTGGTTTGTACACCGTTTGTTTTTTGTTTTGTTGAAACCCTATTTATCTTATATAATTCCTGTTTTCATCATTAGCAATACTTATTTATAAAACGTTAAAAGTGATAAATTTGAATGGTAGGGTAAATTTACTACCATTTTTTCCCCTTTTTGTCTTTTTTTAAACCATATAGCCTACAATACATCATTTGGACTTCCCACCAGTTCTTAGGTCTATTGAAATATCCATCACTGGATGATTGATGCACATTGAATAATATGTTTAAATACTTAACGTTTGCGTTTATAAATGTATCCATAATTAATTTCAATTACTCTATCGCAAATTTAGATCCGAATCAACTTGCGAGGGTTCACTGTATTTAGAATAATATTGCAAATTACTTGAGGAAGTTTTAATGAGCGTTTATCAAATGTTCACCACATGATGTCGCTGGAGACCATGGGTTTGACTGTTTCTGTGTATCTAAAACTCCTCCTCTTTGCATGCATCGGAAACAATCGTCATCGGCCACTATACTTTAGACACTCGGTGGTGTTGAGAGGAGAAGGGAAAGCGCTAAAACAGAACAATACAGCTTTAGAAACAAAGACCTACACTGTGGATGAATGATCTGTCGCGTTTATTTCTTTTGTTGCATCAACGATGTATGTGCGACGACAAAAGGGATATGGCTGGATTCATATTATTGCACTGCTTTGTCTTTGTGACTGGTCTGCTTCGCAGTTGTCTTACTCAATTTCCGAGGAGGTTAACAAAGGCACCGTAGTGGGGAATCTCGCAAAGGATTTAAACATCAACGTACAGGATCTAGAAACCAGAGATCTGCGTATTGTTTCGAGTTACAGTAAGACATATTTTGACGTGAATTTGCGGAGCGGAAACCTTTTTGTTGACGAGAGAATGGACAGAGAAGAGCTTTGTCCGCATGTGGTAAAATGCTCCATCAAAATACAAGCTGCTTTAAATAATCCAATGAGTGTACACCGCATAGAAGTCAATATTCTTGATATAAATGACAACTCGCCTTCTTTCATTGAACAATCGCATGTATTTAACATATCAGAATCAGTTTCACCAGGAGAGAGATATCTTCTCCCAGTAGCAGTGGATGCAGACATAGGCAGTAACACAGTAACGACCTACAAGCTGAGCCAAAATGAACATTTCTCGCTCGATGTGCAGAGCGGTGGAGAGCACGATGTGTCTGCTGAGTTGGTGCTGCACAAAGCTTTAGATCGAGAGAAACAGCCAGTAATTAAACTTCTCCTGACCGCTGTAGATGGAGGTAAACCGCCTAGATCAAGGACTTTGCAGTTAACTGTTAATGTTATAGATGTGAATGACAACACACCCACTTTCAGTAAGTCTCTTTACAAGGTGCGTGTCAAAGAAAATGCAACTCCTGGTACACTTGTAATGAAGTTAAATGCAACAGATTTAGACGAGGGCATGAACAGTAAGATCCTGTATTCTTTTATCAAACGAGGAACTATTGATCCATCAAATATTTTTGATCTAAATTCAGAAACTGGAGAAATTACTGTGAAGGGAAGACTAGATTATGAAGCGATGCCTGCTTATGAAGTAAGGGTTCAAGCAATGGATCAAGGCCCTGTTCCTCGTAGTGCACATGCTAAACTATTAATAGAGATAATTGATGTGAATGACAATGCCCCAGAAATATCAGTGACGTCACTGATGACCCCTGTAAAAGAAGATGCAGAACTGGGTACAATAGTTGCTTTAGTTACAGTGAGTGATAAAGATGGAGGAAGCAATGGTGCAGCTAACTGTAAGGTAGATGGGTATGTTCCCTTTAAACTGAAGTCCAACTACAAAAATGATTATTCATTAGTAGTAGATGGACCACTGGACAGAGAAAACTCTTCTCTTTACAATGTCACCATTACAGCCACAGATGAAGGGAGTCCGCCTCTGTCCAGCATCAGGGTCATTACTGTTCATGTTTCTGATGTCAATGATAATGCACCTCGTTTCATGGAGCCTGTGATTAATGTTTATGTGAAAGAAAACAGTCCAACAGGCTCCGTTATTTACACAATAAATGCTTTTGATCCTGATCTGGACAGTAATGCAAAGATGACTTACACATTGTTAGATAGCTCTGCAAAAAATACTCCAATTTCATCTGTTGTAAACATTAATAGAGAGACAGGAGATATAGTCAGCCTGCAGGTCTTTAACTTCGAGGAGTTAAAAACGTTTCAGTTTAAAGTTCAGGCCACAGACTCTGGTGTTCCTCCGCTCAGTAGCAATGTGACTGTGAACATTTTTATCCTGGATGAGAATGACAACAGTCCTGCAGTTCTCGCGCCCTATTCTGAGCATAGCTCCGTTAACAGTGAGAGCATCCCCTACACTGCTGAAGTGGGATACTTTGTGGCAAAGATCAGGGCTGTAGACGCAGACTCTGGATACAATGCGCTGCTTTTTTATCACCTCTCTGAGCCCAAAGGAAACAACCTCTTCAGGATCGGAACCAGCACCGGGGAAATCAGGACTAAGAGGAGAATGAGTGACAATGACCTGAAAACTCACCCCTTGGTGGTCTTGGTCTCTGATAATGGAGAACCCTCCCTGTCAGCTACTGTGTCTATTGAGGTGGTGGTGGTTGAAAGCACAGCTGACATCCAGACTCAGTTCAGACATGTGCCCATAAAGGAGGACAGCTTCTCTGATTTAAACCTGTATCTGCTGATCGCCATTGTGTCGGTTTCAGTGATTTTTCTGCTGAGCCTCATCAGTTTAATAGCTGTCAAATGCCACAGGACAGACAGCAGTTTCAGCAGGTACAGCGCCCCAATGATCACCACCCATCCTGACGGGAGCTGGTCTTACTCTAAAGCTACTCAGCAGTATGACGTCTGTTTCAGCTCAGACACGCTCAAGAGTGACGTAGTGGTTTTCCCCGCACCGTTTCCGTCTGTGGATGCGGAGCTGATCAGTATTAACGGAGGAGACACTTTTACTAGGACTCAGACATTACCTAATAAAGAAAAGGTGAGTTGGTGAGTTGTGTTTTCCACTAAAAGTTGCCAAATAGTGTCTCCCTGCTTTTGTGTAACTGATTTACAAACATGACATAAATTAGCTTTATCACAAATTTTCCAAATAAGAATGCCCCATTTCTCTAAAATATAGTACATGGAAATACCTTTGCATTTAAACAGATAACAGACCTGTCTGAAGTAACTTGAAGGGAAATAGTGTAACCTGCAAGCAGATTTGTAGGGCGCTATCCATGGTGCTGGAAACATCCTGCTTTGTTATTGGTGTTCTTTGGCTCGAAATCCAAAATCACTGACTTGAAAGGGTTGCATTATAGCTTAGAGATAGTTTTTTTTTTTTTTTAAATAGTGATAGGCTGTCATTTCCTCAAACTTTTATGGTTACTTGTTTTTTAACGTGACACCGATGAAAATCAATTGGTTTGTGCAGGTTTCAAATAGTAGGCTAGATCATGGCAGTATTGTTTATGGTTGCTATTAACTTTTCTAAGTGGGAATTATTGTCCATGCCTTTGAACTCATATGGTTTGAATCAGTTTTGTTGTATTTCCCCGTGAATTCGATTAGTTTCAGAGATCAGTCTTTTTCTGCAATCTGTAGGTCATTTTTCCTCTTTACACGGCTGATGAAGTGTTCTTAATCCACTTACAGTTTTGAGGTAAAGTATATTACAGGTGTTTCAATAGAGTGTGGTACTCGATGTTTTGAATTATTTTCATATCCAAGTTGTAACGCGTGGCGTCGCTAATTACCGTATATTTTTGTGAGCTCGGTGTTTTCAGTCTCCTCCTTTCCTGTGAAGCTCAGCAGACTGCGAGTGCATTGTGAGAGGAACACGGATGGCGATGAAAAGCAGAGGACTCGAGTGCATGGGATTAAAAATGCTGGTCGATCAAGTTGCGTTTTATGGATGAATATGATTCGTATCACGTTTCTTTCCTTGAAGGCAGCGATGGGCAGCGGTAGGAATAACGAAATTCTGTGCTGGCTGCTCGTGTTGATTTTATCTGACTGGTCTGCAGCTCAGATATCATACTCTGTTTCCGAGGAGGTGGACAAAGGAACTGTGGTGGGGAATCTCGCTAAGGATTTAAATGTCAACTTTCGAGACCTGCAAACGAGGAATCTGAATCTCGTGTCTGGGTATAGTAAGAAATATTTCGAAGCAAATGTTAAAACGGGTGATCTTTGTGTTAATGAGCGAATAGACCGCGAGGAGCTTTGTCCAAACACGATAAAATGCACACTAAACTTAGAGGCCATACTGAGCAATCCTATGGTACTCCACCGCATTGAGGTTGTAATTGTTGATTTAAATGACAATGCACCTACCTTCGTTGAGAAGTCACATTCACTTAACATATCTGAATTATCACCGACGGGCGAACACTTCTGGCTTCCCCTGGCTCTTGACGCAGATACAGGCAGCAATTCAGTAAAGACTTACAGGCTAAGTCCAAATGAATACTTCTCCTTAGATATGCAAAGCGATGGAGAGCATAGTGTATCTGCTGAGTTAGTACTGGTAAAAGCTTTGGATCGAGAAAAGCAAGCTGTTGTTAAACTAACACTGACCGCTGTAGACGGAGGCAAACCTCCCAAAACTGGAACTGTTCAGATACATGTAAATGTTCTAGATGTCAACGATAACACTCCATCATTTAGCCAAACACTTTACAAGGCACGTGTAAATGAAAATTTTCCAACTGGATCATTAGTAATTCAACTTAATGCCACAGATTCAGACGAGGGCGACAATGGTAGAGTCATTTACTCTTTTGTCAGGCGTGCAAACTTCAATCCTGCAGATGTGTTTCTCATAAATGCAGAGACTGGTGAAATAACGATTAAAGGCAATTTGGATTACGAAGCACAGTCAGCTTATGAAATTCATGTTCAAGCTACAGACAGAGGTTCGTCGCCTCGGAGTGCAAATGGGAAGCTGCTGGTGGAGGTAGTCGATGTGAATGACAATGCCCCAGAAATTGTAGTGACGTCACTCATGAACCCGGTTAAAGAAGATGCTGACATTGGAAGCGTTGTCGCTTTAGTAACAGTGACTGATAAAGACGGAGGAAAAAACGGTCACACTAATTGTAAACTGGTTGGTTCTGCACCTTTCAAGTTAAGATCCAATTATAAAAACTACTACTCTTTAGTTGTAGACGGACCTCTGGATAGAGAAGGATGCTCTTTTTACAATGTCACGATTGCAGCGACTGATGAGGGGACCCCTCCTCTATCCACCAGCAGCGTAATAACTGTTAAGGTTTCTGATGTCAATGACAACGCACCTCGTTTCCTTGAACCAGTGATTAACATTTATGTTAAAGAAAACAGTCCAGTTGGAGCTCTTATCTATACGATAACTGCAGTCGACCCTGATATGAATGAAAACGCTAGAGTAGCATACTCATTTTATGGTGATTCAAAAAGTATTCCTATAACTTCTGTTGTAAACATAAACCCAGAGACTGGAGATATAGTCAGCCTTCAGTCTTTTAATTTTGAGGAGTTAAAAACGTTTCAGTTTAAAGTTCAGGCCACCGACTCTGGTGTTCCTCCGCTCAGCAGCAACGTGACTGTAAACATTTTCATCCTGGATGAGAATGACAATAATCCAACAATTCTCGCGCCCTATTCTGAGCACGGCTCCGTTAACAGTGAGAGCATCCCCTACTCTGCTGAAGCGGGATACTTTGTGGCAAAGATCAGGGCTGTAGACGCAGACTCTGGATACAATGCGCTGCTTTCTTATCACCTCACTGAGCCCAAAGGAAACAAACTCTTCAGGATTGGAACCAGCACCGGAGAAATCAGGACTAAGAGGAGAATGAGTGACAATGACCTGAAAACTCACCCCGTGGTGGTCTTAGTTTCTGATAATGGAGAACCCTCCCTGTCAGCTACTGTGTCTATTGAGGTGGTGGTGGTTGAAAGCACAGCTGACATACAGACTCAGTTCAGACATGTGCCCATAAAGGAGGACAGCTTCTCTGATTTAAACCTGTATCTGCTGATCGCCATTGTGTCAGTTTCAGTGATTTTTCTGCTGAGTCTCATCAGTTTAATAGCTGTCAAATGCCACAGAACAGACGGAAGTTTCAGCAGGTACAGCGCCCCAATGATCACCACCCACCCTGACGGGAGCTGGTCTTACTCTAAAGCTACTCAGCAGTATGACGTCTGTTTCAGCTCAGACACGCTCAAGAGTGACGTAGTGGTTTTCCCCGCACCGTTTCCGTCTCTAGATGCTGAGCTGATCAGTATTAATGGAGGAGACACGTTTACCAGTACTCAAACTTTACCTAATAAAGAAAAGGTGAGTTGTTGCTAATGAAAGGGTGAATCTGTGGTTTTTCTGAAGTGGGGTTAGAATTTTGGTCATCAGATTATTAGATTTTGGGATTTTACAACACTTTTCGTTATATACATTTTATGTGTGACTGTGAAAGAACCATGATAGAAAGTAATAGGCTTACTTTGGGGGATAAATCGAAATCAATTAGCTTACATATTTCCTCCTAAAAAAATAATTCACAAGTATGATGCTGGATATTGGGGAATTTCTGTGGGATATAATTCGAAACTGTTGCAGAATAATGGCATTTTAAGCAGAGAAGTCGCTGGTCAAGAGATTTGAATACCGACCAACGATGACGCTGTCCATGGTGCTGAACTCTAGATAGTGTCGTGTACACAATCAAAGGCTGCCTGGCCTTTTATATAATTTAAACCTTAACAGCAGAGTATGCAACACTTCTTTAATGTGTTTTCGCCTGGTACCACAAAACTGATGTAGTTTTTACCTGTGCATCAGAGACATGTTTTCTACTGAAATTGATCGCTCCACTGCTTTGCCCTTCTGCACAAATATAGGCTATATTTATTTATAGAATATCCACGCCTTTCTTCATTAGCACCAAAACAACAGTTGGTGTCGCTGGAGACCATATTATTTGTGTGGCTCTTTTTTTCCCCAGACTCCTCCTCTGCGTGCGAAGCATCAGTAGTCCACCGCTGCTTTGTCAGAAAATACACAAGCGGTCACAAGACAGTCTGGGCTTCGTCTGTTATTCACTTTAAGTGTGGACATGTTCGAAAATGATTATTTCTTTCATTCTGTGTCAGCGATGGGACGTGGAGGAGTAATGGTCACGATTTGGATACAGATAATAGCTTTGCTCTGTTTGTGTGATGGGTCTACAGCGCAGCTTTCGTTCTCTGTTTCCGAGGAGGTTGACAAAGGAACGGTAGTGGGAAATCTCGCTAAGGATTTACAAATTAATGTTCATGAACTGGAAAAACGGGATTTGCGAGTTGTCGCTGGGAATTCTAAGAAATATTTTGACGTGGATTTAAAAACCGGTGCTCTATATGTTTGCGATAAGATTGATCGAGAAGAGCTCTGTCCAAATACGGCAAAATGTCCCCTGAATATAGAAGCTATTCTAAGCCACCCAATGCAACTGCATCGCATAGAAGTCCAGATTATTGATATTAACGATAATGCACCATCTTTTCGTGAAAGAGAGAGGACTTTCAATATTTCGGAATCTTCTTTTACCGGGGAGAGGTATCTACTCCCAATGGCAAACGACGCAGACACGGGTAGTAACTCGGTAAAGAGCTATAAGCTCAGTCCAAATGAGTATTTCTCACTGGACGTACAGAGCGGCGGACAGCACAGTGAATCTGCTGAGTTAGTCCTCCAGAAATCTTTAGACAGGGAGAAACAGTCTGTTATCCACCTGACTTTAACTGCTCTGGATGGAGGAAAACCTGCTCGAACAGGGACATTAAAAATTGTTGTAAATGTCATAGATATAAACGACAATGTTCCGGTATTTAGTCAACCTTTGTATAAGGCCCTAGTAACTGAAAACGCTCCATTTCAGACATCCATACTGACTGTAAGTGCTACAGATTTAGACGAGGGAATAAATGGTGAGATTATATATTCATTTATTGAGAGGGGAAATTTCAATCCTGAAGCTTTGTTCTCAATAAACCCAGACACAGGGGAAATAACTGTAACAGGAAAAGTAGACTATGAAGAAAATATAGCATTTGATATTCGTGTACAGGCAAGAGACAAAGGTACGCCTTCTCGAAGTGTGCATGGTAAAGTGTTAGTTGAAGTAACAGATGTGAATGACAACATACCTGAAATCATTATCACATCTATTATGAGCCCAGTTAAAGAGGATGCTGAAATAGGTACAGTGGTTGCTTTGGTGACTGTGACTGATAAGGATGGGGGTAATAATGGTATCACTGTTGCTAAAATTCTCGGTTTGGTGCCTTTTAAACTTAAGCTGAACTACAAAAATTACTATTCATTAATAGTCGATGAACCTCTTGACAGAGAGGGTGTTTCTCAATATAATGTCACCATCATAGCCACTGATGAAGGCACTCCACCTCTCTCCAGCACCAGTGTTATTCCTGTTCACATTTCTGATGTGAATGACAACCCCCCTCTTTTCTCAGAGCCTGTGATTAATGTGTATGTGAAAGAAAATAGTGCAGTGGGAGCAACTATCTTTACTATAACTGCAGCTGACCCTGATATTGAGGAAAATGCAAAAGTAACATATTCTTTGTTAGACAGTGACTCCAAAAGTATTCCTATAACATCTGTTGTAAACATAAACCCAGAGACAGGAGATATAGTCAGCCTTCAGTCTTTTAACTTCGAGGAGTTAAAAACATTTCAGTTTAAAGTTCAAGCCACAGACTCTGGTGTTCCTCCGCTCAGCAGCAATGTGACTGTAAACACTTTCATCCTGGATGAGAATGACAACAGTCCCACGATTCTTGCGCCCTATTCTGAGCACAGCTCCGTTAACAGTGAGAGCATCCCCTACTCTGCTGAAGCGGGATACTTTGTGGCAAAGATCAGGGCTGTAGACGCAGACTCTGGATACAATGCGCTGCTTTCTTATCATCTCTCTGAGCCAAAAGGAAACAACCTCTTCCGGATCGGAACCAGCACCGGGGAAATCAGGACTAAGAGGAGAATGAGTGACAATGACTTGAAAACTCACCCCTTGGTGGTCTTGGTTTCTGATAACGGAGAACCCTCCCTGTCAGCTACTGTGTCTATTGAGATGGTGGTAATGGAAAGCACAGCTGACATCCAGACTCAGTTCAGATATGTGCCCATAAAGGAGGACAGCTTCTCTGATTTAAACCTATATCTGCTGATTGCCATTGTGTCAGTTTCAGTGATTTTTCTGCTGAGTCTCATCAGTTTAATAGCTGTCAAATGCCACAGGACAGACGGAAGTTTCAGCAGGTACAGCGCCCCAATGATCACCACCCACCCTGACGGGAGCTGGTCTTACTCTAAAGCAACTCAGCAGTATGACGTCTGTTTCAGCTCAGACACGCTCAAGAGTGACGTAGTGGTTTTCCCCGCACCATTTCCCCCTGTAGATGCTGAGCTGATCAGTATTAACGGAGGAGACACTTTTACCCGGACTCAGACTTTACCTAATAAAGAAAAGGTAAGGGTGATAGAACATAAAACACAAGCTTATGATTTAATATTTTAATTTTTCACACAATGCAATTTTATTCTTAAAGCAGATGATTATATAAATATCACAATGGAAACAAGTCTGAAACTTTACTGTGATGCCCTTAACACTTATGCAGCTGTGCATGACCTAACATACACCTTCTCATAATTCCAGTTTAAGATTACTCATCCGTGCCAATATTGTAAGATTAACACCTATCACAACAAAACAATGCTATATTCTCTATTTGCTCCTCTATGACCTGTTGGTCAATTACTTTAACTGCTTTTTTGCAGCATGCAATACTTGTGGACTTTCCAACATCTTTCTTCTATTTAGCCTCTTGCTCATTCATCTTTCAATGGATCTATTAAGGGTACTGAGTCTTGGTAGAAACGCCAGCTGATCATTTTAGTTGCTTTTTAATTGATGGCAAGCCAATATGGATTTTGAGTTACTTAATTTAACCAAAACACTTGTGATTTAATTGTCTTATCGTCTCCTTTCGTCTTTTCTTGTCTGATTTCAACATCACCAAAAGATGTCGCTATCACATTACACAGGTGAAACAGTTTCTGTGCGACGCTCCTCCCTTTTCGTCTAAGAGAGACGGTTTGTAATTCTTTGTTTGTCGTGGCAGTACAGAACATGTATTGAAGGGCTCTGATGTGGATGTATCATTACTAAGCAATGTTACCACTTCAGTGATTTTTTTCTAATTAACTTGTCTAACAGACTTTGGACATGATGCAACAAGGAAATATTTTCCGGCATTGGGTTTATTTCTTGTTCCATGGATCTCACATATGGAGTCTCGCAGCTGCACAGATTGTGTATTCTGTTACAGAGGAATCGAGCCCGGGTAACACTGTGGGAAATTTGGCGAAGGATTTACATCTAGATGTACAGGGACTGGAAACTCGGGGTTTTCAGATTTCAGGACCTAACACGAGGTATTTCGAAGTAGATGTTAAGACTGGAATACTTCTGGTGAAGGACAGAATAGACCGAGAGGCGCTCTGCTCTCGTAATGTTAAATGTTCTCTGGAAGTGGAGGCCATTGTCAACTCTCCGCTTAATCTCTATCGCTTTGAGGTTAAAATTTTGGATATAAACGACAATGCACCCTCTTTTCGAATTCCGGGAATTGTTTTGAATGTGTACGAGTCAGCTTTCCCTGGTGAGAGATTTACACTGCCAAACGCTTTCGATGCCGATGTCGGTAGTTATTCAATTAAGGGCTACAAACTGAGCCAAAATGAACATTTCACCCTGGATGTGCAGAATGGTGGAGAGGCGACTATGTCTGCTGAAATGGTGCTGCAGAAAGCCTTAGACCGCGAGAAACAGCCAGTTATCAAACTAACGCTGACAGCAGTAGATGGAGGAAAACCTCCTAAATCAGGCACGTTACATATCACCGTTAATGTGCAAGATGTAAATGATAATGTTCCAGTTTTTGACAAGACGTTGTACAAAGCCACGGTGCCAGAAAACACACCGCAAGGTGCCACCGTAATTTCTGTACATGCTCGGGATTTAGACGAGGGTCTTAACGGAGAAATACTGTATTCTTTTATCAACCACGACAATGATAATAATGTAAATAAATTTGCAATTAATCCCGTAACTGGGGAAATTACAGTAAACGATGAGCTAGATCACGAAAAAAACAATGCAGTTGAAATCCGGGTACAAGCAAAAGACAAAGGCGCAAGTCCTAGAGCATCTCATTGTAAAGTACTCGTTGAAATCACTGATGTTAATGACAATCCACCAGAAATATCAGTAACATCTTTAGTCAACGTGGTGAGGGAAGACGCAGCCATAGATACAATGGTTGGACTTATAACAGTGAGAGATAACGACGCAGAGAAAAACGGCGCTGTTCAGATTAGAATAGTTGATTCTGTACCGTTTACAATTAAGAACACATATAAGAATCATTATTCTTTGGTCGTGGACGGAACTCTAGACAGAGAACAAGCTTCTGAATATAATGTCACAATAACAGCGACTGACGAAGGGGTCCCGTCTCTTTCCAGTACAAGTGTTCTTACAGTCCACATTTCTGATGTCAATGACAACGCACCTCGTTTTAAAGAACCAATGATAAACATTTTTGTCAAAGAGAATAGTCCAGTAGGCGGTGTTATCTATACCATGACTGCCGATGATCCTGATGTAGATGAGAATGCAAAAGTCATGTTTTCAGTAATGAATGATAATCATAAAAACAGTGTAATAGGGTCAGTTATAAGCGTCAACTCAGATACAGGAGATATTTTCAGCCTGCAGTCTTTTAATTACGAGGAGTTAAAAACGTTTCAGTTTAAAGTTCAGGCCACAGACTTTGGTATTCCTCCGCTCAGCAGCAACGTGACTGTGAACGTTTTTATCCTGGATGAAAATGACAACAGTCCTGCGGTTCTTGCGCCCTATTCTGAGCATGGTTCCATTAACAGTGAGAGCATCCCCTACTCTGC